AATAGTAGACATAGGTGGTGGTACTGTAGATCTAACAATCAGAAAATTGTTACCAGATAATAAATTAGGTGAAATAACCGAACAAACTGGTGATTGTTGTGGTGGAAGTTTTGTTGATAAAGAGTTTATCAATTTTCTTGCTCGAAAAGTTGGTAAATCTGTTATGTATTTACTTCAAGAATATAATTATAGTATATTACAATACATGGTTCAAGAATTTGGTCGATCTGCTAAAATACCATTTACTGGTGATACTAAAGACTTTAAAACATTCGAATTGGATCTTGAGGAATTATGTCCAGTTATAAAAAATTACGTTGACGATAAGACTAAAAAAAGGTTGGAAAAATTAGAATGGGTGATTGATATTGAATTTGAAGATGTTAAGTCAATGTTTGATCCTGTAGTTGGTAGAATTATTCGGTTAATACGTAGTCAATTGGAAGCATGTAAAGATTGTACTACAATGTTTTTGGTAGGTGGGTTTAGTGAGTCTAGATACTTGCGAAAAAGAATCAAAGAAGAGTTTAAAAAAAGTGTGCCTATTATTTCAAGTCCCGATAAACCTATTGCAGCTGTTGTTCGGGGGGCTTTGCTTTATGGCCTCGATACAGCTATAGTAAAATCACGTGTATTGAGGTATACCTATGGTATTAGATCCTTACCTGATTGGCAGCCTGGTGATCCGTTAAACCGAAGAACCCCTGATGGAAAGATTTTTCGATTCCATACATTAATACAGCGTGGACAAAAAGTGGATGTTAATGAAGAAGTTTCCGATATTCTTCGTGTTGCGCATGCGAATCAGAAAGATATGTGTATGGATTTATATGTTACACGTGCGTATGAGGCAAAATATTGTGATGAACCCGGTGTTGAATTACTTGGAAAATTTACAATTAAAATGCCTGATAAGCATCTTGGACTTAATCGTTCAGTTATTTACACACTTTTATTTGGAGAGACGGAGATTAAAGCCACCGCAAAGAACCAAGCAAATGGAAAAGAATATCATACCACTT